TCTGACAGATATCCATAAAAACCTCTTCCACAAGCCCTCTCACACGACACACCCATGCCTCCACACACCCAAAAGGTCCTGAAGGGGCAGTAACGGGGCAGCCAAGTTCCTCGTGGCCTGTTGTCCAACCTAGTCTGACTTGAACGTAGTCCTTTGAGGCAGAGTGAGGATGGTGGACTGGGAGAGGCAGGGAAACCTCATTTATCCTCTGGTCTCCATTCTCCCTTTTCCCATCTCACCTGTTCCTTCTAGGCTGCCCATCTATAAACTGGGAGCTGCACCCAAAATTTTCTCATCAACCTATAGAATCCACCATTACAGGATGGAAGACCCACCGGAGGTCACCAGTTCAATCGCTCCAGGCTCCCTCCCTACTGGTTCAATTGCTTCTTCAGTCTTGTCCTCAACCTGTCTTTACCTTTATTCCAGAAGCCCCCATCCCCTCCCTCTCCCTTTGTCCTGCCATTGCCCTCACTGCCCTCTGAATTCCTGATGCCCCACATGCCACTTTGGCAAAAGGTGGGCAGAGGCCTATTTGACATCCCCACAGCTCTGATACTCTGAAGTTGGGTGGACTGGAGGAAAGAGTCAGCTGAGTCACTTGAACAAGATAGGAAAAGAGTGACAGTGTCACTCCTCTTTTCTACATGTCCCTCACGGTACACCATGACCTGTTGAAGGTTGTTTCTGTGCCTTTTCCTATCCCACACTGCCCCCTGTAGCAGGATGGCTAGACACAGGAGCCTTGGGAAGTATCCTGTCCCAAGGAAAGATTGGTTTATGGAGTTTCTGCCCCATCCATAGATACCTTAGGCATTTTCCTCCTCTCCACCTCCCTTCCACCCCACCCTGTCCCCAGCTGGAGTAACTGCCTTCAGTCTGTGACTCTCCAGGATCATTGTGAGGGTAGAGCAATGTGCTTATACAAAGTGTATATAAGTGGGGGGGGGGGTGGAGAAGAAAAGATCCTGACTCCAATCCTGTACTGGGTTGCCAGAAATCTCAAAAAGTGGCCCCCTGCCTATACACATGCACATCAAAGACAGACACAAAACCACATAAGCACATGCAGACAGAGGTACAGGCACAGACACAAAGACACACACACACAGACACATAAACACACAGAAAGACACACAAAGACATATATGTGTTCACAGAGCGACACATGCACAGATTCACGTGCAGACACGTATGCGTGCACACACTTACATTTCCCGAGATAACACTGGCTGGCTTTCCCAGCCCTCGCTCACAGTTGGGATACTCTCCTTGATATTCAACTTCTACCTTTGCCAATGCAACCAGAGCTGTCTTCCTTCTTGTTGTTCCTGAGCAGACACAGAAAGGTGTGGTCAGAGCTCTCTCATCACATTCCCACCCAGACCTGCTGCTCCCTGTCATTCCTCCTGCCTCCTGTTAGACCCATCCCACTCCCTGTGGTCCCCAAGCCCCCCCCCCCCACTTCCCCAATTCAGCCTGTCTCTCTCCCTTGGAGTAGCTGCAGGGCTGCAGTCCCTCTAAAATCCATGTCATGAGTCCATCACCTTATGTTCACCCCACAGCTCACATCCTTGCTTTGGAACCATTAGCTGTCAGTGGGTTGGACTCTCCCCTGAGAAAGGTGTCTTTCTCACAGCTGCATCCTCCTCACTGGCATTAGCATCATCCTCAAGGGGCTTTCGTGTATCTCATTTTCTTGATTATCCCATGCCCTGGTTGATTAGCAGGTCTCCATCACTCTGGTGTGTGTCTCCCATGGGTCACCCCTTGGTCAGCAGTTCTCCCCTTCCAGACGCACAGCTCCATGGGCATTTGGTGGCACAGGGAAAGTGTGGGTGCCGGGGTCTCAGATCAAGTCACTCAGACTGGTCCTTCTCAGCCTAGGTGTCCCCTACACAAGCATGGGTCCTAGACTAGTATGCACCCCCTCCCCCCACGTCCGCCCCCCACCCTCGGGGTCAGCAAGTTTCCTCCACATTAGTTAGCATATCTCTCTTTGGGAAACGCTTTCCCCATAGCCTGTTCACATGGCATTTTTCTCTCCTTTTTTCAACATGTGTGTTCTGCTGCTGTTTTTCACATCTCCAGTTTGTAGTTTGTATCTCCCTTCCTGTGGATAGTATTTCTGTCTTCTCCTCTGACCTCCACCTGGGTGTTTACACAATGCTTCCCCCAGTAACCCCTAGAGCATCTGCCCACTGGGCCGAGGAAAGATGCCGGCCAGGAGAATGGAGCTGCCCTCCTCCATATCTGCAAGGTGGTCCTGGTCCGTAGCCTGCCCCACTCACAGTCCCTCCCCACTCCCCCAGGTAGATGGCCCCCCCAGGGCAGGCCCTGCGGACACCCCTCCCTCCGGCTGGCGGATGCAGTGCCTAGCGGCCGCTCTTAAGGACGAAACCAACATGAGTGGGGGAGGGGAGCAGGCCGACATACTGCCGGCCAACTACGTGGTCAAGGATCGCTGGAAGGTGGTGAGTGAGTGACCCGACGGGGCCAAGGGAGGGGTAGGGAGAGGAGGGGAGGAGAGGACCTGGAGACGTGTTAAAACAGTTGCCCCCAACTCTTCTACCCTAAGAGGGAGGTGCCCCTGAGCTCATTTGCATACTGCTTGCAGTCACTATTTTGGCGTACACTGGTGGACAATCGCTTTCTCCCAGAGCCCTCTCTCACCCCCTTCCCCGCTAGGTCACGTTGCTCCGGCCCAGCCTGGAACAACTCTTGGCTGGACGTCGGAGCAGGAGCTGCAGAGCTTAGTGGGGGAGGCGGGCGGGGTGGGGGAGGGGGCTCTTTCGTTGCCGGACCTTGGAGAAGGGCAGTGAGTGAGCATGTGTCCCTCCGCTTCCGCAGAGGACAGAGAGGCCTGGCTTCAGGGAAAGAGGCCCTGCGGGCTGCTCCCACCGCAGCCGCACTCCATCTTCTCCTTCCACCCTCCTCCCCTCACTGGTTCCTGCGGCAGGTGCAACACGCCGAGACTCCATCTCCCAGCGTGCCTTGCTCCTCCAGCCCAGGACTTCAGGCTGTTCGGCCTGCTGGGAGTTGTAGTCCGAGCCTCCTCCGGGTTTGGGCCTGGATGGGAGGGGGACACGTGAGGGGCTTGGGGAAAAGCAGTGTCTGGGGAGCGGGACCTACTGTAAATCAATCCCTGTCCCACCCACCCCGCTCTTTCTTTCCGTCGCTTGAGATTGCGCTGGGGTCCTCTTATTGTGGGGGCAGGATGGTGTAGGGTGGATTGCGGGGCGATGGTGTGTGATCTTGTGGGTCTGCGTGGCAGAGTGGGGAGCCTGGAGGAAGGGAGGGAGAACAGACAGGCCTACACTGAGCCTCTATGTGGGGGTGTGTGGGAGTGGAAGGAGGAGGCTCAGTTCACCTGAGCTGTCAGGCTGAGAGGAGAGTGGGGCCTGCCTGGGTGCTGGCCGGTTTCCACGGCAACAACCACGCTTCGGGCAGATCCCCTAGAGTCCCAGGGATAGGAGCAAAGGTGGCAGCGTTGTCATTGTCTCAGAAGTCTCTGGGACTGGGGAGGGCCAGGAGAGCTGAGGGAAGGCCTGCTTGGTCCCAGAGGAAGACTTCCTGAGAGGGAGAGTGACAGGACCGAAATTGGGGGAGGAGGAGCCAGGGCAGTAATCAAGGGAATGAGGGTCTGGCCAACTGAGGAGTATTTCTCCAAGAACCCTCTGGTCCCCTAACATGAGAGCCTAGTTTCTGACAGATTGGAGGCAGAAGGACATTTGCACTGAAGAGGTGAGGAAAAGATGGTGTTCACACCATACTGAGTTTGGATTAGAACTTTGTTGTACTTTTTGAGGGAGGGGATGGGAGATGAGTGGGGAGAGAAATGGCAAGAGGGAGTTGGGGGGGAGGGGCAAGCCCACAATCTTTGCCAGGCTGACCTCTCCAGGTCAGCTGCCAGGCTGACTCCGGAAGAACTAGAGAGGGTGGGGTGCCAGATGGCTCCCCTCAGCCATCTCCCTGTGAGGGGTGGGACGTGGGCATGAGGTAGAGCTCAGGAACCAAGAACAAGCTCCCTGAAGAGAAAAATGAGCTGGCTAGGGGAAATTGAGGGTCAGTGGCACTAGGTGGAGTATTTGCAAATAATAACGTTTCACTCTTCTTGAGGGGTGCTTCTCAGAATCAGAATAGCAAATAATAATAATAATAATAATAATAATAATAATAATAAATGATAAAAGCAGCATTTGTTTTGAGCCCCCACTGTCGCCAGACACGGTGCATTATCTCAACAAACTATGGAGTAGATATTGTTATTACCCCCTTTTCACAGGTGTGGAAACAGGGGTAGGGATTAGCTAACCTGCCAAGTTCTTAAGACTGGGTGGAACCAGGTCTGTCTGACTGCTGGGTCAGCAGCCACTAAACCATACTGCTTCGAAAGAATTAGCCCACCCAAGAATCAGGAGCACGGAGATGAAGGAGTCTTTCAGACCCGTTCTAGAACAACTCTTTCATTTTACAGAGGAGGAAAAGTGGAAGCACAGAATTTAAGAAACTCACTCCAGGTGACCCAGAGCTAGGCCAAGAAACCAGGTTTCCTTTTTCCTAAGTAAATGTTGGTCCTACTGTGTCATATTGGCCCTCCAGTTTAGGGAGTTCCTTTGACAGGGGAGGGGATCATGAAAACAACTAGGAGAGGAGGAATAGGGTCTGGCAAAGGGAGATTAAGAACATATTTCTGTTAGCAGGCTTGGTCAGGGCTACATTATGACTTTCATGGGCCCTGGGCCCTTTTGCCTTCATGGACCCCTTTCTCTATAATAAAGTAGTAAAAATCATATTTTATGACTGCACTGGTATACAGAGGAATGAATTAATATTATATGCTACAATTTTTTGACCTTCTGATTTGAAATATTGAAATGTTTTTATGGCTCCCTGTAAGTATTATGGGCCACTGTGTCTGCTGTGCCCGATGGTTAAGTGGGCCCAGACTGTAGGGCCTGGGGAGGAGGGGTGTTAGGTGAATGGGTGGGTGCAGATACCCAGCTTGCCTCCCTGGGAGGTTCTGTAATGGGGTGGGGGGCAAGGAAGGGACCAAGGGAGGAGAAGAAATAGCCTCTTTGGAAATGAAGACGGTAGAGAAATACTATTGGCCACCCTTGGAAATTGGGGAGCAGGTACCAGAAATGTCTTGGCTGCCCCGAGCCCTCCTTACCACCTCCAGTGAGGATTTTGGAGTCTGGCAGATCTGGGCTTGAATCCCAGCACTCACACTTTTAATCCCTGTGCTGTCAACAGTTTCCTATGATATCGCGGTTAAGAGCGTGGGTTCTGCATCAGATTGCCTGGGTTCAAATGAAACCTGGCTTTGCTACTTACTAGCAATGTGACCTGGGGCAGAGTACTTAACTCTCTGTGCCTTAGTTTTCCTTCTGTGCAAAATGGTGACTCTTATGACCTTCCCCACGTGTTGTCAGGAACCTCACGGGATGAGCTGAGATGATCTCTGTGGGTCGGGAGCACAAAGCCTGAGATGTGATTATTGTTCCCTCCCCTCCCCGTCTTCCATGTTCACGTACAGCAAACCATAAAGGATTCTAGAAGATACTATCATCTCCCCTGATTTTAAAGTTCCCCAGGGGAAGACATGACGCTGCTTTCCTTGAGTCTGTATCTGTCCCCTCCTTATTCTGAAATTCTTCGATGAGTCTGACTTTCATCTCAAGTAGAGAGAGATTCTGGTTTCAGACTGTTCTTCCCCCTTTCCCTTTTCCTGCGTCCTTTCGGAGCACGAGAGCCTTCAAGATGCAGCCAGACTTCCACTTCTTTTCTGAATCTTCCCTTCTTCCTTCTCTCTCTTCCTAGAGTTGTTTCAACTGTAACCTGCTGGGAACTCCCAGTCCTTGGCTCAGCCCTGCGCCCATCCCCCACTCCGTCCCCTTGCTTCAGCCACCATTAAACATTTAATGGGGTCTGAGTGCTGAATAAATGCTAAGGGGAGGGCTTGGAGATGCTAGAGGCTCAGAGTCCGTTTACAGGCTGGCTGGTCAGAGCAGCCTCCGCCCAATCACTAGCAAGCCCAGCTGTGCTGGTGAGTTAACAAGCCAACCGGAGGCAAGTGAGGGTTCTGGAAGGTGCTCAGCGAGGGCGGGCCACCCATGAGGTGAGCTGTACATCTTTTTTAAACCAAACAGGTCCCGACTTAGAAGTCTGCACCTTCTCCTTGTCCTTTATCATTGCCAGTAGCACACTCCAGGGACCCCAGGGCCTCTGACTTGAAGTGATTTTAATCCCTTCCCATAGCTCAGCTTTGCTCATCCACCCTTGCGAACTCTTCCTCCAACACAATTCTCCCCTCTGCCTTTTCTCACTGCCTGCCCAGGGATGCTGGAGGAGGAGGGCCTAGAGGGTCAGGTCTGTACTGCCCCGTCCCCTGGGGGGATAGACAGACTCTCCAAACCTCCATTCGCACCATGGTCCCACAGTACCCCCTACCCTCAGGGGAGGCTCACCCTGATTTGAGGCATTTGACCAGGGGTCTAGGGAGTGCTGTGAGCTTCAGCAGCAGGATGGGCATTGAATACCCTTTGCTGAGTCCTCTCCCCCAAATACTTCTCCCCCGCATTACTCTCTCCCTCTAATGACACCTGTCAGGACATTGCCAACCCCAGGAAGGGCCAGCTTCCCTGGAGGATCCACCCTGAAGCTGGGAGGTTCTGGAAATTAGTTTTCCTTCTGGATGGTGGTTGTTCAATCTAGTTTGGGGGATGGGGAGAGTGTAATATTTCTTGTCCTTCCAGAAAAAAAAAAAAAAAGATTTATGGTGGCCCATGATGTCTTCAGAATCCTACACAGGCTCGTCTCCATGTCTACCTGGGGTCAGAGGTCACATACCCTCTCCCACCTCCCAGCCTGACACCTAGCCCTGTGTGTGCATGCACATGCATGCATGGGCTGAGCTGTCTCTGGCACTAGGAGGGGAAGTGGGGACACAGGTGGGTGGGGCAAGGAAGGCAGACATAGGGTCCCCCCCTTCAAAACTGGCCCTACCCCCACCAACGAAGGGTATGACCCAGCAGCGTGTGGGATGAGGAGCTGCTCAGCCTGATCCCTGGGTTTCCTATCCCCCTCTTCCATCTCTGTAGCTGAAAAAGATCGGGGGCGGGGGCTTTGGTGAGATCTACGAGGCCATGGACCTGCTGACCAGGGAGAATGTGGCCCTCAAGGTGGAGTCAGCCCAGCAGCCCAAGCAGGTCCTCAAGATGGAGGTGGCCGTGCTCAAAAAGCTGCAAGGTGCGGGCCCTGGGCAGGAGGATGGGAGGGAGGAGGTGGAGCCAGGGGCTAAGGGAGAGCTGATGGGGATGGTGAGATGGAACCAGAGTCTAAGGGCGGTGATGGGGAGAGGGGCATGGGGAGGTGGTGGCAGAAGTGGTCATGGGACCAGGAATCAAGAGGGCACCAGAGACACCTTGGGATCGGAAGTGAGGAAGAAGGAGTGGGAGTTGGGAGACCCCTGTCTGTGCCCCCACAGGGAAAAGCCACGTGTGCAGGTTCATTGGCTGTGGCCG